CGCCTTAGTGTCAGCACATATACGCCTACCACGACCCCTTTTAACGTTTGTACTTCGATCACCACGATCACCAGTGTGAATTGCATTGTAGTATCCGCCAACGATCCAAGCAACAACCCATTTGCTACTCGTCCAGGTGGTGCGGTTGTACGCGCAGTTGTACAACTATGCGTACACGATCTATGTGGTGTTGCCCGCGACCGAGCTCCAGATGATTCCAGGGGCGTTCCGATGGCCGCCGCCTCCTTGGAGTCATGGTGTCAATATTATGTTTGTTGTTCTTCCTCCTCATCAACCTCTCGGTCATCATCGTCCTCCTCCCTCCGTTCCCCGTGCTTCCCATATTCGTCATTGCTCTGCTGCTGCTTGCTCTCGATTTCCCCGTCCCATGGCAGGCCCGCGGTTGTAGTTGGGTGGATTAGGGATCGTGACCCTGCTGCTGGAGCCATCAGGTGCTGGTGGCATTTCTGCCCCCCCCCCCCCCCTCTTCTCACCACCCACCAAACCACCCCAACCCAACCCGAAGGCCTCAATTTGCCCTCCGTTTCGAGTGGGGGGGGGTCAGGGAACATTGAAAAACACACATGGAACCCGTACCCCCCCAACCCGAAATTCGCGTCTCCAGGTTGTGTTGGGGTGTTCTGGTTGGTAGTCATACTCCACGTTCTTGTGGCCACTCGCCCAGCCCAGGCTTCGGGGGGTGGGGGCGGCTGACCCGACGGCTCCCCTCGCGTCGTTTTGGCGCAGATGAGGGCGAAGGATTGGCATAGCTATGATGGGGGAAGAGGAGCGAGGAGGCTGAGCCTGGCGGGACTAGGACGAGGATAAATCAGTTCCAGAGCGTTCCAGAACGCTCTCAGAGCGTTCCGAGACGCTCTGAGAAGGCCGCGACGCCCGATACGTCTTCCAGAGCCGACGGGTTTCAGAGATTCTCGGCTTATCTTTGCCCGGATTCAACCTCGTCCTGGCTTCTCGGGGGGCGCGCAATGGGGGGGCGATAAATGGGGGAGGGCAGTGGGGGCTGCAGACAGGAGCCCTTTAGGGCCTCAAATGGGGGCCTTTATAGGGCCCGAGGAGGATACATCTCTCCCCCACCGATTGATCGCCCCCCATGAGGTCACGCCCAAGCTTCGTTTCAGTGAGAGCGAGGAGGGGAGGGAGGAAGAGGATTGTCGAGTGCGTGTCGGAGTAGTGTCGAATATGGGATCGACTATTAGGGGAATCTTCGGAAAATGTTTAGAATGCCCCGAAGCTCTACGGAACAGTGTACATACTCTCGTAGATTTTACAGGACAGTGAATGCTGGGGGTAAATCAATTCGGGGTGGGATCTGGCCCATCGCCGCCGCGGCCCCTGGGCCTCACACCGCCCGCCCGCGCTCCCCAGCATCTTTTTTGCCGGCCGGTGCCCCCCCCAAAAAAACAAAGCACAAACGTGCCGCAGACCTGCGAGCACGGTCTATATTCATATCCATATCCATATCCCTCCTCCTCCTCTTCCTCCTCCTCTTCTTCCTCCGCGTCTCCTCTTCCTCCGCGTCTCCTCTTCCTCCTCCTCCTCCTCCTCCTCTTCCTCCTCCTCCTCCTCTTCCTCTTCTTCTTCCTCCTCATCCTCCTCCTCCTCCCACCCTGGGGCCCAAGCATGTTCGTGATGCTCGGCGGCGTGCGAGGGGGGGCGGGGAAGTGAGAAGAATCGTTCGAGGTTCGACGTTTCGAGGTTCGAGGTTTTCTGACGTTTTCGCGGGGTCTCGGCGGCTTCCCCGCCTCGGGATGCCTTTCAGCAGCTGCGCCTCGCCGAGAGCGTTCTGGGGATGCCCTGATCGTCCCGAACGGCCGCCAGAGGCAAGAGTTATGACCCGAAAACCACTTGTCGGCGATCATGCGGAAACGATAGGAAAGCAAGGAGGGGAGATGGAGGAGGGGGGAGAACGAGGAGGAGGACCAGGGTGACTTCAATCTGTGTAGCCAATGCTGCTGCAAGAGCCCTCCTATCCCAAGTCTCCTCCCCGTGAGTCTCGGCAGGCATTTCTTCTCCGCTGCTCGGAGCGATCCCTTTGACAGACGAGCGCCCCACTTCGGCAGCGGGCGGGGGGGGGGAAGTGAGAAGGCGAAGGCCTTCTCAGAAGGCGGCGGGACCTCTTACAGACGAGCGCCCCCCTTCGGCGTCGGGCGGGGGGGAGGAAAGCGAGACGCAGAAAGCCTTCTCAGAAGGCTGCGGGACTTCTCGAAGACGCAAGCCCTCGCGCCTTCTCAGAAGTTTCCGGCGTCTGCACAGGGAATTTTTCGGAAGGCCGGGGGACTTCCGAGCCTTCCGAGAAGGCCCGGCCCCTGGCTTTTCCCCCCCGGGCGCGGCGTCAAGCATTGCGTCTTGGACCTTCTGGGATCGGGGGGCCAAGAGGGCCCAGGCGCCGCGCACGAGCATCCGGGCTGAAGGGGAGGAGGAGGAGGAGGAGGAGGAGGAGGAGGAGGAGGAGAGGGAGGAGAAGGGAGGAGGAGGAGGAGGCGAGGAGGAGGAGGCGGAGGAGGAGGAGGAGGATGAGGAGGAGGAGGAGGAGGAGGAGGAGGAGGAGAGGAGGAGAGAGGAGGAGAGGAGGAGGAGGAGAGGAGGAGGAGGAGGAGGAGGAGGAGGAGGAGGGGGAGGGAGGAGGATGAGGAGGAGAGGAGGAGGGAGAGAGTATGGAGGAGAGAGGAGGAGAGAGGAGGGAGGAGGAGGGAGGGAGGAGGAGGGAGGAGGACCAGCAGGTTCTCGAGGGCAGGCTCCCCTGGGGTCTGCCTGGCCCCCGGGCCGCCGCTTGCCCCCTCTGCTATGGGGTCCGTCGTGGGCGGGGCTCTGGGCGCAGGGCGCGCCTGCGACGCGGCGCGGAGGGCACGGGCGTGGGCCAGCCAGGCGGCCAGCACCTGGCTTTCAGTCGGGCCTGTCCCTCGACAGGAGGAATATGCAAACATAGGTAAACAAACATCGAGGGACGATGTTTCTACTAGTCTTGACCATTTGGGAATCTTGTCTTTGACTTTTTTTCGTCCCAAATGCCCCTGTAGGGGGACATGCCCGACTCAAGCTTGGCTTTCGATGTCGAGACGTGGTCGTGTCGTACGACAGGCGAGACCGGAGGCTTTTCGCTATTGTCAGCCCAGGATGACAGGGCGGCCCTGGGGAAGGGCCCAGGACTTCTGGGGACGCCGTTTTGAAACATCAGGACGTCGCATGTGAGTGCCCTTCCCTCCCTCCCTCCTCCCCCGCCGCCGCTTTCGCCTCTCCCCTCTTCCTGCCGCCAGTGGCTTTGCGCCTTCCGTCGCCCGGACCGCCTGAGCGCGCGTGCGGACTGCTTCTGCCGCGCTGCGACGTAAAACATGTCTGGGCGCGGGGCGCTCGTTTTTTAGGCCTGCGCCACGCACGCATCCGTGGGGTAGGCTCTGGCCAGTGACTGAGTGCACCGGGAAGGCGACGGAGGGCAGGAGGTGTGCTCGCGTGCTCGGGCATGTTTCGGGGCCTGCTCGCCCCCATCTCCGTCCTCCTCCTCGTCCCCCCCTGCTCCTCCCTCCTCCTCCTCCTCCTCCTCCTCTTCCTCCTCCTCCTCCTCCTCCTCCTCCTCCTCATCATCTTCCACGGAGCTTGGAGCTGCGGAGTGCTGTGGCTCGTGGGAGCCTTGAACCCTCGAGTCCTCCTCGTCGTCGTCCTCCTCCTTCTCTCCTCCTCCTCCTCCTCCTCCTCCTCCTCCTACCCCTCCTCCCCTCCTCCTCCTCCTCCTCCTCCTCCTTCCTCCTCTCCTCCTCCTCCTCCTCCTCCTCCTCCTCCTCCTCCTCCTCCTCCGCCTCCGCCTCCCCCTCCTCCTAGCCCATTTGCGCTCTAGCAGCGTTGTTGGAACTGCTCTATAAAGGGACGCGCGCTCCTGCGAGCCAAGTTTACGTGATTCCAAGATTCCCCCCGCAGTCACTGAGTTGTCATGGTTCCTGTGTCCTCTCGCGCGCCTCGCTGGCATGACGGCTGGCCGTGGCACGTGGACGGCACAGTACGGGCTCTGGCAACACTTCGACGTGGACATGCACGGCATGCGGGTACAAACAAAATAAGCAGTTGTGGCAACAGTGCAAACACTGCTGGTCCTGGCGCAGCTCCCCGTCTTTCACCGGTCCGCCCCAGCCGCGTGGCGTTTGGCGTGGGGGGACTCATACGGAGGGAACGCCCAGGGCTTTGCCTCCTCCTGGGACTTGGTCTGCTGAGCTTCCTGTCCAGCCCCACGCCCAGGTGCAGCAACGGCCCCACGTCCAGGTGCGGCACCGGAGACGTTTCGCCTGTGCGGGCTGTTCGCCACGACGCGCTCCCTGGGCGACGCTGCAGGGGCCGCCAAGTACCAGAAGTTGGTGGGTGCCAAGCGCTCGGAGCAGATGGTCGAGCCCCCGCTGCAGCAGCGGGTGGGGAAGGCTTTCACGGAGCTACGGGCGTTGGGGGGCAAGCTCAGCAAAACAGTATCCTACGATGAACGTTTTCAGAGGGACCTGGATGCCCAGCGCCAGGTTGTCCAGTCTCTCACGGATGATCCTTCTCAAGTGGAAGGTCGACACAAAGAGTTGGTGCAGAAGTTGGCCATGCGGGTGGGTGGGGCTCACGCTTTATCACAGCTTTCTTCTGAGCAGCAGGCCGCCTCAGTGTCGATCTCCATCGAGGACATGTTGCAGGGCAAAGAGCTGCCCATCAATATGGACTCTCTCCTGGCGCCCGAGGACGAGTACGGTCTTTCTGCAGATGACAAGGCCGAGGCAGAGGCCCGTCTCAAGGGTTTCCAGAAGTCCAGCACGGCGCAGGTGCAGCAGCTCTTCGGGACAGCCGCCGAGCATGCTGCCAAGTTCAGGGAGGAGCAGGAGAAACAGTTGGCAGGGCTGGCGGGCAAGAGGCGGCGTGTTGTCGAAGCTTGGGCTCAGCATGCGGGAGACGCAGGTGATACCACTGCGCGCGCCTCCCGGGCGATGGATCAGCTGCAGGTGAACCCGTTGTACCCCCAGGTGCGGGGTCATCGAGTGACTCGGCGTCTTCTCCTCCTCCTCCTCCTCCTCCTCCTCCTCCTCCTCCTCCTCCTCCTCCTCCTCCTCCTGGCGACGGCGACGTGCGAGCCCGAGCGCCACGTGTGATCCAGCAGGCTTCCCCTCCCCGCTGGCACGGCAGCTTGAGTGGGGGGGGCGTCGTCATCAGTTGCAGCATCTACCTGCACATGGCCCCCGATCGGATCTTCGTGAACATGCACTTCTGGTCGCCTCGCCAGTTCGTTCTGTCGGGGACGTTTTTTTTTTTTGTTGTTTTTCGTTGTTTTTTTGATGTTGTTTGTTGATTTGTTAATGGGCATATATGTATATATATATATATATATATATATATATATATATTATTGCCAAGACCTGGGCCACGTCGGCCCGACCCCTCCTTGGGATCTTCCCTTGCGGTTCCTGGCGCTCGGCGGGTCCTGGGAATGAGGCCCTGGCAATTTCGGCCCCTGAAAACACTCGTGGGTCCCTGGAAACACTCGTTCGGTCCCTCGTTCGGTCCCTGGCGTTCGGCCCCTCGTTCGGTCCCTGGAAACGCTCGTTCGGCCCCTGCTTGGGGTGAGTGAGAGTTGGCCGTGGGTTGCCGTGGAGCCACCGCCCTGGCATGCCCCAAGCCGCAGGGAAGTCTCAGTTCGGCCCGGCCGTCGTGGACCACCCCGGCCGGGCACCTTCCCGCGGCCTTTCGCGCCCCAAGGTGCGCGAAGAGCTCTTTCGAGGGCGGGGGGCGCACTCTTCTCAGGGCTAAGGGGAGGCCCTAAGGGGGTCAGGCTCGCTCGACCTCCGCGCCTCGGCCCATGGTTCTCCGTGGCCCAGTCTTGCCCGCGGGCAGCGCGCCCCAGGAGGTTCCGCTCGTTGGGCCTCTTGAGGCCCGGAGTTCCCCACAGGATATCCCTCGCGCCGCACATTGAGAGAGCTGCGACGTGTCAGGGCGGGGGTCTGGTCAGCTCTGGCTTCAGAAGACGGACGAAGGATTGCAAAAAAAACCCTTGAACGAAGGATTGCAAAAAACGCTTGAACGAAGGTTTTTTTTGCAATCCTTCGTTTTTGCCATCCTTCGATCTGGTGGTTCTGCAGCAACATGAGCAGGTGGAGAGCCCGGTGGCGCCTGGGTCGCCGCGGGCTCGCCGTCGCGGATGGAAGAGTTTGTGGAGCGCTGCAGCGCCAGGAGTTGGACAGGGCCCACCAGCTGGCGTTGTCACTGTTGCGCGTGATGCGCTCGGCCTTCGCGCGCCTGCGAGTGGGCGCATCGTTGCGGCGTCGAGGGCAGTGGTCGGCACTGTCGAGATCCCTGGCCAGCCTGCTCTTTCAGTCATGTCGGCATAGTTCCGCGACTGCCAGGGCCTTTTTCGGATGAACATGCTGATGTCCTCTGCTCGTGTTTGTCCGCGGGGGGGGGGCCTGGGGGGCCCGTTTTCTGGGCGCGGATTCCAAGGTGGAACCGCGCGTCTTTATGTCGTCCGGGCTGGGGGGCATTTCTCGCAACCTCCAGTGTTTGGTCCCCGAAGGGCACGCGTGTGAGCCGACAGCGGGGCTAAGGCGGCATGCTTATTCTTGGCATTTGCTGATATCGCGAAGGGTGCCCGCGCGGTCCGCTCGATTCGCGGAACCGATCTGACCCCGCATGCTCCTGTAAGGGTTGTGCTGCATCCGAAGTTCGGGAAGTTGAAAGCTCTCGCCTTCCGCCGCCCCCCGCCCAGCACCGCGGCGCCCCTCGAACCTGTCTGCGTCGTCGAGCCGCGGCGGCGTTCGGAAGTGCCCGACTGGGCGCGCGCTGCCGCCAGAGAGGGGGACTGGGATGGAGCCCAAGAGTATTTTGACAAGGCGCACAAAAGGTGGGCGAATGCTGCTGAGCGCGAGGTCGGTGCTGCCGCGGGCAAGGTCCTCCCGCCATGGGGTGCTCGAAGTGAGCCGCCCCGGATGCACTGGCGAGACGTCATGGTGCAAAGATGCCGCCAAGGGCAAAGATCAGCTGTTCTCTTGCAGGTGCCTGGCCAACATGTTCTGCGCGTTCGAAGGGCACTGGGCGGCTGGCCCCCAGCGTCATGGGCGCCCTGCAGTCGACCCCCAGCTTTGCCGCCCACCTTGGCGAGGCCGCACCGTACCTCCCCCCCCCCCCCTGTCCTTCATCGAGGAACCCCCCATGCATGGGGAAGAGGACGGCCCCCATTGTGATTGCTTCAGGCTTTTAGTTGAAGACGACTTCCAGGGGGTCTTTGCAAACGTCGAGTCGGAGGCTCGCGAGCGAGTTAACCAGGAGTGGCGCGAGTGGAACATGTTCAGGGCTGATCGCGGGGCTCGGAGGGCCCGCCCTGTCAGTGAAGGGGCCACCCCCCGGGCCCCCGCCGCCGCTCTCCCCCTGGGGGGGGGGCGGTGGTGGCGGATCCCCTGTCCCTCCTGAAGGCTGAGGCCGCGCGTTTCTCGAGTTTGCGGGGGGGTGCCTGTCCCTCGCCCTGGTTCGGGCAAGGAGTTTTGGCGCCCAAGTTAGATCCTGCGCCCGCGGCAGCCGCTCGGGAGTTTTCGAGGAAATTCCAGGACAATGCCTCTGTGAGCATGGACGGCGCCCACATGAGGCACCTCAATATCATGAGCGACTGCCTCATGCGCATTGCCTCGCCCCTTTTTGAAGCGATGGGGCTCGCGGCGCTGTTTCCGAGGCAGGTGGCCGCGGCGCTGCTCTCTCTGATCAAGATGCCGCCTGCAGGTTTCAGGCCCACTGTTAATTGTTGTGCCCTGTACCGTGCGCACGGTGAGGTGGGGGGGCCTATGGCGCAGGTATGGGAGTATCGTTTTGCGAGAGACTACTTTGCTGCTGGACCGGTCGAAGGGGCTCAGGACGCGGTCTGGAGGCAGGCTGCGCGCGTGGAGGCTTCGACTTTGAGTAATGATGAAGTTGCTACTGTACTACTTGACCTCTATCAATATGTTGAGACGATCAACCTCCAACTGCTGTTGCGCCGCTGTAGTCAGATGCAGTTCCCCTTGGCTGCTGCGAGGTTGGCGGTGCAGATGTACCTTCAGGCTCGGTTTTTCGTCCTCAACGGCTTCGTCGACGGGCCCTATTGGGCCTCGGGGGGCATCGTTGCGGGGTGTACGTTTGCGACGTCGCTTATGCGTGCGTACGCTATCCAGCACCTGGGCAGGGTACAACTGCCCCCGTAATTACCTTTCAAATGTTACATGGATGACTCCAGCCTGAGTGCCACGGGCTCTAAGGACTACGTGGCTTGCCGTGTGCCGCCTGCTGCCGGGTTGCTCTACGCCGTTCTCGAGGAGGGAGCGGGAGCTAAGGTCAGCACGGGCGGGGGCAAGAGGTCGCTCGTCTGCACTTCTAGGTCGTCGGGCAGGGAGTTGGCCGCCAGGCTCGGCGGGCCGGCGGGCCCGCTCGTCCGCTCGGCGCCGCACCTCGGGCGCGACGATTGCGCGGGCAGGCCTCGGAGGGCGAGAGGGAGGAGCTGCAGCCAGAGGCAGCGAGATAGCAGGTCCCACAGGCCTCTGTGGGGGCCGTCCTCGGGAGCTGAAAGGCGCACGGTCGGGGGCAGGGTTTCGCGCGGTTTTTTTTTTTTGCGGCTGGAGCCCTTGCTGCCGAGCTGTCCGGGTCTGGGGCCCACGGCGTCGGTGAGTTTGGATTGTTGAAGCTCCGACGGCAGTCGACCTCTGCGCTTGCAGCCTTCGGCGGGGGGCCGCTCGCTCACGGCGCTTCTGTTGGCGCGCGGGGGGCCGCGCGGGCATGGAGGAGGAGGAGGAGGAGGAGGAGGAGGAGGAGGAGGAGGAGGAGGAGGAGGAGGTGCCTCGCCCATCTGCGGGTGGGCCACGGAGGTGTGGCGGGCATGCCACAGTTCGCACCAGCACACCCCTCAGCTCACGGGTTCCAGAGCTGCTCGGCACGCGGGCCTCGAGGGTGGATCCCCATATTGTGGCGAAGTGTCTCGGGCCCCGTGACGGTCTGCGGGGGTCGTGTGGGCGGATGTCCTGGGCCATGTCTGGTTTCGCTGTTCTGGCTACTGATCGAGGCCAAGTGGTGAAGCTCACGGAGTTCCCCCCCCCCCGCCTCGTTCGCAAGCTGCTGCGGGAGGCTGTTTTGCAGGGGGCGTGCAATGGACTTAGGTGCCAGGCTCAACATGAGAGCGCGGGCTTGCGTGCAGCCTGTGCTCATCTATCTGCGCAGTTCCATGTGCGCCCCTTTTCCAGAAGGGCTGTCTAAGGGCGCTGATCGGTAATGCTATTGTCATTCGGGATCGGGCCGGAAAGCTCGATGATGTTTCACCCTCGACTCTTTGCCCCAGGTGCGGAGAACCCAGGGACACCTTAAGACATGGGCTTTGGGAGTGCCAGGGCCCTGAAGTTTCGGAGCTCAGGAACTCACTGGCGCCCCTGGAAATCCAGCAGTGGGCCGCAGAGGTCGACGACAACCTGGCTTGCTTCGGCGTTTTCGACCACCCCGCCGACTCTTTCCCGTCGCCGCTCCCCCAGGGGGGGGGGGGCATCGAGCTGGAGTGGGAGGGGGAGGAGGAAGGGAACATCGAGGTTATGTTCGAACGAGATATTTTCGTCGACGGTTCTTGCACGCGTTGTCTGGTCACGGAACTGAGCAGGGCTGGTTGGCCCCTCATTCTTGTCTCCAGGGCGACGGGAAACCTCATAGTGCGGGTGCGAGGGCCTGCGTGGGCTCCCTGTCCTCAGACGCCTCAGACGGCAGAGTTCCACGCCCTGTCTGTCGCGTGCCAGTGGGCTACGGGGCCCAGCACCATTTTTCGGACTGCCAGAGAGGCGTGGATGTTGCTGCACTGCCCTGGTCAGAACGGCTTTCGCTCAAAAGGATGCTTAGTGGCACGGCCCAGCTCATGCACCAAAGCATAGAGGTGGTGAGACTCGAGACGGTTTGGGCTCATTTATCCTTCAACGACGCCGTTGATGAAGAGGACCGCTATAGGAGGCAAGGCAACGACTGGGCCGACCAGGCTGCG